TTGAATACATTTCTTACCCCAAGGCACCCCACTAGCCCTAATCCTAATATCAGTAATTACTGAAACAATCAGTCTATTTATTCAGCCAGTAGCTTTGGCTGTACGACTAACCACTAATATTACCACTGGTCTCAGCCTGGGGTCTTTCTCAGTGTGCTGGGATGGGCTCCCCAACCTGCCTGCAATGACATAATGGTTTCCTTAGCAGGTGTCTCAAACTAATTTTCACTGGGGCCACATCAGCCTTAAGGTTGCCTTCAAAGGGCCAAATGCAATTTTAGGACTGTATAAATGTAACTACTCCTTAACAGTTAAGTGAGAGCTCAGTGCTGATGCCAGGTAGAAATCAGGTGCCTGGCCAGATAAAACAAGGTGGAGGGCCGGATTCAGCCCACAGGCCTTGTGTTTGCCACCTATGCCTTAGAGGGTGCCTTTTAACCTTGGGGAATTTGAGAACTATGTGTGGTAGTAATCAAATCAAATCAATTGACAAAGAGCAAAACCCCATAGAGGTGATTGAGAAGATAAATCATGAGGAGTATCTCAAGGGAGAGATATTTTAAAAATATCAAGGGAAAGAGTATTTAAAAAATGAACGAGAGGATGGATAGAATTAGGGTGCAGGAAGATAAAGGCCTGTGGAGCAGGGAGTGGATTCAGAAACAAGGTGGTGCTTTGCAGACCTCATCTAGAGCAAGGAAGGGATAGAATCAGAGTTGATGGGTGGAACAGGAGTGGGAGGTAAGGAAGGCCAGTCTGTACCTGTAGACACCCATTTCTAGAAGAGAAAAGGGGAAGAGAGAGGGCTGGACACTAGTAAGGTTTGTGTTATATTTTAGTTTTTCCTTGAAAGTTCAGAAAGGATGGAGCATGCTTATTTATTTATTTTTATTGTTGTTCAAGTACAGTTGTCTCCATTTTCCCCCCACCATTCCCCCTACCCTTCCCCCCACATCCCATCCTCAATTCTACCCCCCTTTGGCATTGTCCATGTATCCTTTATACAGGTTTCTTGAAAACCCTTCCCCTTCCCCACCTCCCATTATCCCCTCCCACCTCCCCTCTGGTTACTGTCAGTTTGTTCTTAATTTCAATTTCTCTGGTTATATTTTGCTTGCTTGTTTGTTTTGTTGATTAGCATGTTTAAATATGGACAGAAAGAAGCCAGCAAGAGGAAACAGTTAAATCACAGACCAGGTGATGGTCCATTCCACGAGGTTTCCAAGAAAGGAGGAAAGGATTTAGGGTAGGGGTGGAGAGACTGGCTTTGGGTGAGAGGAGGGACACTTCTTCAAATGGATTCCATTTAATGTGATAGATTGCTTGGACACACTAACAAATTCTGAAGTTTTCATAGATCAACATTAATAACAGGTTGGGTTTTTTTTAAAGAAGTATTTTATGGCCCTTTTATTGCTACGAAAATCTTCTTTTCCCTACTTCCAGGCTCCTGGAAGCTAGTTGGCTGTGTTATTTCTTCTTTCCTTTTGTCAAATTTTTGTCAAATACCTTTCTTTAGCTTTGCCTAATGATTGGGAGTCAAGTTGTTACAACTTTCCCAGCAGGGCCCCTTTAACCTTTACTTAACTTAGAGTTTAGCTCCTGGCCTTCCATACTATATAACTTTTATAGCTCTGCATCTAAAAGAAACTTAACATCTTTGACCAATTTTTTCCCCTTGGTTCATAGCCACAATGGGCACAGGGACTAGGAAATGTAACATAGAAAGAGAGGGGACTGCCCTTAAAAAAAAAGCTACTAAATTGGAGCAATTTCTGAGAAGGATAAAACAGACTTTTATGTGAACCTAAAGGCTGTAAGATTATGTGAGATTGGGGACGTGCAGTTGTGTTGTGGTTAATGACAGGTTTCAGTGAATGTTCCCAATGTAAAAATGTAATGAGGAAACATAAATTCTTATTAAATTCACTCTTAAGCTGCAGTCAATATTTTTTGGGTAGGGTATACATGAATTAAGTTTAAAACTTTCCTCTCTTCAGAAATAGTTCATTTTCCCTCTCAGGATTGTTTTTCTTAGTTATAGCTGATTAGTATATTCAATCACAGATGCACTTTCACAAGGAACTTACATTTTGTATAGGAGAAGGAGATTCAATGAACAATTTCTTTCCCTAAACATAGTGAGCAAGGATATTGCCACATCAGCTTTTGTCTTTGAGTAATCAACTTCAGGATAGTCTATGAACTGGTGAGTTTGGCTGTGGGCATTTTTCTGTTTGTTTCCTGTAGAAACAGCAGGAGGCAGGGGTGTAAAGCACCCTGAAAAATCTCAGAGTTTGGAACACTTGAAGAGTTTGGAAATACTGAAATTCTCACAGTATCTCTGAGGAGAAGTCGGATCCTGCACTAGGAGTAACAGCAAGGAGGATGTCATGACCTGTGTGTAGGGTCCCAGCACATGGCAGGCCCGGAACTGGAGAGCACTCCTGACTGTTTTGGGGTTGGGGGGTTAAGAAGGGCACAGCTTGGGTGTTGGGCCTGGTTTCTTACCACTCGCCCTTGGTATCTGCTGATCTTCATCTTTGGAAGAGGGCTGAACCCTTGGATAGCTATGAATGAACTTGAGTCTATGTGGAGAGGTGTAGTCTCAGCTGCCTCTAAACCCCTCTCCACCCCTTTTGGGAATGAGAAGAACTCACCTGCCCTTGGGAGCGCTCCCCTGAGAATACAGACTTCCTGATAAAAGCCACTTTGCAGTTAACCAGTTTTCAGACAAGGTTTTCTAGATATTTCCAATTCTCTCCGCTACCTAGGACCTTCACTTTTAGTATGCTGCTGCAGTTGATTTAGTGCTAAGCAGATGCTGGCATGAGATATACTAAGAAGGGTGCAAGTGTGGAGCCCACCCTTGGGTTCTTGTGTAGCCTGCTCCTTCCATAGCCCCAGTCGATACACAGTCAGCTCCTCTTGCTGTTTGCCAACATGGGGCCCTTGGGAAGGGAATCCAGGCTGAAGACCTGTAACTGCTGCCAAATATGTTTTTAAATCTACCCAGAGGGTGTTACTGGGAGTTCAACTGGAGCATCTCCTATTTCCTCCTTAGAGCCCTAGAGAAACTAATTCTCCTGCTTCCTAACTCCCTCCCCTGATCCCACGAAGCATTTTCAGGCACTGGTTTGGGTTTATTGACAACCAAGTATATAATTCATGCAAGACAGATTACAGTGGAGCGTGTTACCTTTGCTAGTCAAGCGTGGCTCAGTAATGCTGCTCCAGATTTTGGCCGGGAAGTAGGTTTTATTGGTGTTTGGGCTTGATGTTTTCCTGTCCGGAAGCCTCCCCCTCCCTTAGCGAGGCTGTTTTGGCAAGCACCGTCAGGGAAAATCTACCTTCCCCTTGTCCAGTTTAATAAATGGGTTCCAGGCAAAACCAAACTGTTGTGTAAAGGAGAAGCCCTGGGGGAAGTGTTTGCTTAAGAGAGTTTGCATCAAGAATTGGGAATTTCCCTGGTGGGGACTGTCAGCTCAAATTGAGCCCTGGTGTCACCAAGGTGGTTCCCCGTGGTGGTGCAGTTGTTTTCTTGGCCTCTCTGACTGTGAGATGCTTAGGGAAGAGAGTGCTTCCTGTTTAGTGAAGGCCATCGTGCTTTTTCTGTCCCATTTTTTCATACTCTCTGAAATAATGGGGACACTAGTGCCAGAGAGCAGAGAAATAAATGTCTCATGTCTCTACTTACTGTACTGTTCTGCCCTGCTGGGTTTTCTGTGAGGTCGGGTAAAGGAAGGAGATAAATATTAGCAGGAGGAGCTATAGGAGCACAGAGAAGGAAGGGGTAGTACCTGAAAAATAGTAGTTAGCCTTACAGTGAAGGGGTTGATGGGGAAGAAAGTCAGGAAGAGCAGGCACAGAAGAGAGGCTTTCTCAGTGGTCCAGGGTGGTTGGACAGGGATGTGGTAGGGGCGCAGGGGAAGTGGGAGATGCAGTTGAGGAGTAAGGCAGGGGCAGGTCCAGCAAAGCTTATAAACCATGCTACAAAATTGGGCCTTATCTGGAAGAGTTTTAAGCTGGGGAGCAACATGATCTGATTTTCATTTTAGAGGGCTTATTCTGGCCACACTAGGGAGATTGCAGTAGAAGTGCCAGGAATGAAGTAGGAAGCCCAGGTAGTAGGCTGTCACATGATCCAGGTGTGAAGGAGTCAGGGTCTGAACCATGCAGGGGAACTCCACTGGTGAGTGATGGTCTGGAACTGTGAGAGGGTGGATCCAGGATGGTGTCTGGGTGCCTGACTTAGGTGAGAAGGGAATAGTGGTGTCTTTCTCGAAAGTGAGAAACAGAGGAGGAAAAGTAGTTAGGGGGATAGAGTAGAAGACAACAATTTTTTAAATTGTTGTTCAATTACAGTTGTCTTCATTTTTCCCCCATTTCTGTCCCCTACCCTACCCACCCCCACCTTCCACCTTCAATCTCACCCACCACTGCCGTTGTCTTTGTCCATGGGTCCTTTATACATATTCCTTGATTTGACTCTTCCCCTTCTTTCCCGTTATCACCCTCCCTCCTCCCCTCTGTTTGTTCTTATTTTCATGCCTCTGGTTCTATTTTGCTCACTTGCTTGTTTTGTTGATTAGGTTCCACTTATAGGTAAGATCATATGGTATTTGTCTTTCACCACCTGACTTATTTCACTTAGCATAATACTCTTCATTCATGCTGTTGCGAAGGCTGGGAGTTCTTTCATTCTGCTGTGTAGTATTCCATTGTGTAAATGCACCACAGTTTTTTGATCCACTTACTTACTGATGGGCACTTAGGCTGTTTCCAGCACTTAGCTATTGTGAATAACACTGCTATGGACATTGGGGTGCATAGGTTCTTTTGAATTGGTGTTTCATGATTCTTAGGATATAATCCCAGCAATGGAATTGCCAGGTCAAAAGATAACTTCTTAGCAAACATTTGTAAAATTGGGTTGAATGGAAACCATGAACCTCATTCTGAGCCAGTGGCCCCAATGGCAGTGCTTATTTTTGTTACAGGAGAGATTTTGGGCCTCACAAAGTGTTACCAGTGAAGATCCACCAGCCTGACCACTTTGTCCCAAGTAAAGAGAATATGGATCTGCTCACGACGTATAAACAAGACTACAACACCTATCCTCTCTGTCGAGTGGACCCCATCAAACCTCGGGACAGTAAATATCCATGCGGTGACAAGATGGAGTGTTTGCCTACTTATAAAGGTAGGGGAATGCTTGAGGGGCAGCTTGGGGGAGGATAGGCTGAGCTGGCGTGCAGGCCAGGACATGTGTTTCCCATGTACACCTCCTTAGAACAGGGGCCGGGCAACCTGCTTCTTGTGGGTCAAATTGGGCCTGCAGCCATTTTGTACAGCTGGAGAACTAAGAATGGATGATTAAAAAAAAATCAAAGGACTATTTCAGGACATGTGAAAATTATGCAAAATTTGGTGTTCAGTGTTCATTAGTATTGGGTTGGCCAAAAAGTCTGTATGGTTTTTTCTGTAAAATAACAGACACATTTTTCATTTTCACTGATAACTTTATTGATTTGGATATTTTGAGTATTTTGGCTATCTCTCACATAGTATAACAATGATTGATTGTTCTCAATGTCTCAATTCATTCAACTTCAAATGGTCTACCCGACTATGGAGCATCATCCAGAGAGAAATTTTCAGCACAAAACTTTGCAAACCACTTTTGACAGGTTTGATCAATCACAGCACCTTCTCTATACACATCACAAATCCTTTTTTGCATTTCAGTTGCCTTTTTACCTTTCTCGAAATATTAAAGCACAATATGCTGAAAATGTGTATTTTTTCCATCTTCAATATTAAAATGGCTGTACAAAAATTTCCTAATTTTGATAAGTTTTTTTTTTTAAAGAAGCACACTGATATGACAGCTGTCACAATACAGTCTAACACAATTGTTTCAAATGGAGTTAAGGACAACAAAGTACTACTAGAGCCATTGTGTGGAAAAAACTGGACAAACTTTTGGGCCGACCCAATACATGTTGTTGGAACAGAGCCACACTTGTTCATTTACATTGTCTGTGGCTATCTTTGTTTTGTATGGCTTATAAGTCTTAAGACATTTAATATCTTCCCTTTTATAGAAAATATCTGCCAGTGCATACTTTAGCTTGCTCTTGAAATCCTACATTGGGGAAGCATTTCTACTGAATAGCTGATTTACTAATCAATTTAAAAAATTGTGGAAACAGAGATAGAAAAATGTACAAATCATAATTATATATAATTACACATAATTATACATAATTATACTCCCCTCTCCTCTGGGAACCAATTATACAGACCAATGAATTTTTTAAAACTAACAAGTATTTATTTTTGTTTTCTTTGTTATAATTTATTTTTAATTTTGTTTAATTTTATTTTTCAATTACAGTTAACATTCAGTGTTATTTTGTATTAGTTTCAGGTATGCCATATTGGTTAAACAATCATATACTTTACAAAGTGTTCCTGCTGGTGTTTCTAGTTCCCATCTGGCACCATACATAATTATTACAATATTACTGACAATATTTCCTATGCTGTTCTTTACATCCCCATGACTGTTTTGTAGCTACCAATTTGTACTTCTTAGTTCCTTCACCTTTTTCACCCATTCTTCCAACTCCCCTCCCCTCTGGCAATCTTAAGTCTGTTCTCTGTGTCTATGAGTCTGTTTCAGTTTTGTTTGTTTATTTATTTTGTTTTTTAGATTGCACATATAAGTGAAATCATATGGTATTTATATTTTCTCTGAATTATTTCACTTAGTACAATACTCTCTTGGTCCATCCATTCTGTCATAAATAGTAAGATTATTTCTTTTTTATGGCCAAGTAATATTCTTTTGTATATATGTTCCACAACATTTTTATCTACTTGTCCATTGATGTACACTTGGGTTGCTTTCATAGCTTGGCTATTGTAAATAATGCTGCAATGAACATAGGGGTGCTTATGTTCTTTTGAATTAGTGTTTTGGGTTTCTTTGGATATAAACCCTAATATGGAACCCCTGGGTCTTAAGGCAGTTCCATTTTTAATTGTTTGAGAACCCTCCACACTGTTTTCTAGTGGCTGCACATTCTGTATTCCCACCAACAGTACAAAATGATTCCCTTTCCTCCATATCCTTGACAACACTGGTTTGTTGATTTATTGATGATAGCCATTCTGATAGGCATGAAATGATATCTCATTGTGGTTTAAATTTGCATTTCTCTAACAATTAGTGATGTTGAGCACCTTTTCATATGTCTGTCTCTTGGCCAACTGCATGTCCTCTTTGGAGAAGTGTCTATTCAGGTCCTCTGCCCACTTTTTAATTGGATTGTTTTTTTGTTGTTGTTGTTGAGTTTTGTGAGTTCTTGATAGAGTTTGAACATTAACTCTTATTGAATGTATCACTGAAAAATATCTTCTCCCATTCTGTAGGTTGTTCTTTCTGTTTTTTTTTTTATGGGTTTCTTTGCCGCATACAGACAAATTAATTTTTGACTGAACACATCAATGTAAGCAGCACCCAGATCAAGAAATAACACTGATACTCCCTTCCAGTCATCCTCTCTGCCCAGGATATAACCATTATGCTGACTTGTAACACCATAAATAGTTTTGACAGTTTTGAATTTATATAAATGGGATTGATTCATTCTTTATTAAAAATCAACTACATACATCCCAGGCATGGCATTAGGAACTATGAAGGAAGTGTTGTGACCTCCTGTGACTTTTTTGTCTACTAGGAGATGCAGGATATGGAGTCATATGTGTGGTGCAAGCAATGCAGCAGTCACTCAATGGAGCAAAGCCACAGGCTGAGACCCTGGGAATGGAGGACAGGTTTATCAGTAACTTTCCTGCTTATGGTACACCTAGTTTCCCTAGGAATACATTCTGAACCATTCATATAACATGTCTGTGGATCTCTAAATGGCTGTGATAATAGTTGCTTTTATGTCATCAAGCTAAACACTTAGGCAGAGGGAGCTGGGGAGGCTCGGGGGATATAGAACCTTCCTGAAGCCCTCCCCTGAATATAGAGTTCTAAATCTGTATTCAGGAAAACTTCACATGTGGCTGAGCTTCTCTGCTTCTCCTAGGAACTGGGACTCAGTGCCTTTTCAGCATTCTGGTCTCTATTCTTCTACCTTCTTATCATTGCTATTATCCTCTTCCATTCTTCCATAGCTACCTTCTGCCAAGCTATATTCTAGATATTGTCATACCTCCAAATGGTTACACCTTTGTGCACCCCAACATCCAGTTCTTCCTCTTGCTTTCTTGTCTACTCCTGTCCTGACAGCCCTTGGCCTCAGTAGGACCCCCAGTCCACTGCTTCGACCTTTCTTCTTAACACCATCTCCTCCTGTGTCTGTTCTCCAAGTGGCCTATTCCATGTTATATTATTGTGGCCTGTCTTTTTATACCCTCTCTTCTCTCCTTTTGTTAATTCTTTCCAGAAAAGCCCTAATCTAGCCTTCACTGTGTCTACAGCTAGGCATACACCTGAGCCTATCTCCTGTCTTATCAGCTGTTGTTCATTTTCTACAGAAAGGAACCAGGAGGACGTCTTTTAAAAATGGCAATCTGATCTGACCTCTTCTATACTTAAAATGCCTTGAATAACTATTATGGTTCTTAGGATAAAGTCCTAAACCGTTACCAATTTCTTGGATGCCTTGCAGATTCTGGTGCCTCCTGCCAGTGCCCCTCTGCTCTGCCACAGGACCTTCTTTCAGTTCCTTTCCTCCATTTCTTTTCTGTCTCAGAGCATGTTGCACATGCTATCTCCTCTGTATAAAGCCCTCTTCTCTTGCCCAGTCTAGCATTTGTCCTTCAGTGAGCAGCAGAATGTCATACCCTTCACGGCCTTTCCAGACCTCCCCCCACCACCATGCCAGACTAGACACATCCTGTTATATGCTCTGGAGTGTCATGTAATTCATTGCATAATTTATTCTTTCTTTCTTTCTTTTGCTTAACATTTATCTCCTTGGCTGGATTATAAGCTTCAAGAGGTCAAGGATATATCTTTCCCTACCAATTACACCCAACAAGGCAGGAACTGTAGTAGATGCTTTACAAAGGAGTCAGTAGTACCAGGTACATGGTTGTGGCACTGTTGCCTCCAAAAGCTCATTCTCCCTTTTCATCCAGTGTTTATGGGAAGGCAAAACATGGGGCACCACAGACACTGAGCAGGCAGGAGGGAGACACAAAGCTGGCATGAACAGGTATTTCCAGCTACAAACCCTCCTTTCCTCCCCTCCTTTCCTAGGGCCCTCTTGCAATTATAGATAGGCATGGTTAGAGTTTCTTTAGAGCAACTGCATGCCCAGCTTTGTTCTCCTCCCCAACTTTCCCTAGGTGCAAGGAGGGTGTCTGGGAGTGAGAAAGGCTCCTTGCTTATCTTAGGGGCTAGTAAGGATGCCGTGGTCCATTGTTGTTATTTGAAGACAGTCCTCCCTCTTTCTTCCAGCAAAATACTCAAAATAAACACACAGAAGGAAAAAAATGTATATACTTTAATCTATTCCACCTCCAGCCCATCCATATTCCTCACCTTTTCCAAACAGTTACATCTGAAAGTCAGATCATAGTATTCCACTGCTGAAATGGAATTGTGGCTGGCTTTTCTCTGCTGATAAAGTTAAAGTTGAGAAAACTCTATTTTCTTCTCCATTTTTCTTAAAATTCTGGCATCTGTTCACCTGCTTACATGGAATTAATGAACAAATACTAGTCAAGTATTGACAGAACCAGGCATGCTTAGGTAAAGGGAGAGAGTTTGTTCTGGCTACAAATACATTTGGGTTGGATTTCATAGTTCTCCTCTGAAATTCAGATTTAAAAACAAGTCAGTATGTAGCCAAGGAAACATATATGTAGCTAGATTTGATCCATAGGTACCATTTTTCAACCTATGTGTCTTAATAGTTTTTTTTGAAATAATATATATTTGCCATATTCTATTAATTTAAATGGTTTCTTTGTTCCATTCCTCTCCTATGATATAGAATGGCTTCCAAAACTGGGCCATGAATGGCCAAATAAGTAGTCCCAGCCTTTTGCACCGAGGATGATATTACAAAGGCTCTTTACTGAGGAAATGCATGAATGAGTGGTTCTGGACCATTGTTTACAAGGACTCCAGGTGACACAGTTTTGCATTGGACAAACACAAGTCCTCATCAG